TGGTTAGCCTGGTTATTTGGGGGTGTTAATGCATTGGTTAGCCTGGTTATTTGGAGGGTGGTAATGCATTGGTTAGCATGGTTATTTGGAGGGTGTTAATGCATTGGTTAGCCTGGTTATTTGGGGGTGTTAATGCATTGGTTAGGTTAGGTTAGATAGGCTGGTTATTTGGAGGGTGGTAATGCATTGGTTAGCCTGATTATTTGGAGGGTGTTAATGCATTGGTTAGCCTGGTGATTTGGAGGGTGTTAATGCATTGGTTAGCCTGGTTATTTGGGGGTGTTAATGCATTGGTTAGGTTAGGTTGATATTCTGGTTATTTGGAGGGTGGTAATGCATTGGTTAGCGTGGTTATTTGGGGTGTTAATGCATTGGTTAGGTTAGGTTGGTGGGGAGTGTTTGGAAGTACGCAGATCACATCGATTTCGGAATCTTACTGAACAAATCCGGGAAAAATATATTTTTAAACAATTGTGCTAAATACTGTGTAATGATTTTATTGTCAATTTATTTTTATAGTGTTTTTGTTTTGCCTCGTTTATTATATTTTTAATTTTTCGTGTTCTTAAAGTGCGTACTAAATGTAAAAAAAATGAATATAAAGTAGAACGTTTTCGTCGATTTTACACAGGGTGAGTATGGCAACACTGTGCATAACCTTGTATTTTACTGTCTTTATGAAGGTTATAATAGGGAGTTTTCGCATTGAAATGTAGTGAAAATCTGGAATTTTCAATTATTTTTTTTCGTAGAAAAAGTGGTTCATCCAACAATTTTTTTCTTTTAAACCATTCCATTAACTATGGGATCCACATTAAAAATTAAAAAAACCACGATTTCGTGGGGACCTGTTCTGCACAAGACCCCATTTTTTAAAATGTTCTGGTAATCGGTTTCTAAGGCATTGCTTATGCATTGTTTAATGACAAAGTTCTGTCTGGTTCAAACGTCGCCGTACTTCCTACAAAGTTTTGTGAAAAAATGAGAGTGACGAGTCTTTGGATATTCAACAAGCTGCTGAAACTGCGCTATCCACGTTTGTGCCCGAGAAGTCGAAAAACTTATACGAGACCACCTACAACAACTTTGAAACCTGGGTCGAAGAAAAACATGTTGAGAATTTCACAGAAAAGGTATTGCTAGCCTATTTCCTGAAGTTATCCACTACCTTAAAGCCGTCAACTCTGTGATTTACCTCAACTTGATGATTTACCTGAACAGAAACGTAGATATTAGCAAATTCACAAATATTATTGCATTTTTAAAAAGAAAAGCTTCCGGATATCAGGCAAAGAAATCAAAAGTATTTACAAACCTGGAAATAGAACGCTTTATGAAAGAAGCCGATGACAAAGAATTCCTGTTAGCTAAAGTTGCCTTAATCGTTGGAGTATTTGGAGCATGTAGGAGGGAAGAAATCACGTTTTTGACCGTAGATGCCATTAAATATTGTCAGTCATTTATTAGTGTGAAGATTCCGAATACAAAAATTCATTTTCCAAGAGTGTTTACGATTACTGAGGGACAAATAGATGGTATTAATTTCTTACATGTATTTGGTAAGTACGCAAAACTTCGACCACTCAATGTGACACATCAGCGATTTTTCTTGACGTATCGAAAAAATCAATGCTGTACCCTGCCAGTTGGAATCAATACAATTGGAGGTATGCCAAAAAAGATAGGGGGGTCTCTTAGACTCTCCAACGCCATTGAATACACTGGTCGTTGTTTCCGGCGCAACTATGCAACAATGCTGGCAGATTCAAGAGCGGACATAACAGTTTTAAAACGACATGGAAGTTGGCGATCAAGCTCGGTTGCTGAAGGCTACATTGAAAATTCAATTGAACAGAAAACCGAAATAGCAAAAAGAATCATGGGACAGAAAGATACGCCAAATAAAAAATTAAAAGCAGTTTACGTAGAAGCAGAAGCTACCAGCATTGCCAGTCCAAAAAACTTACTTATTCCGACTCCTACAACTTGCATTTCTCTTAGAGACGAAAAGTTGGATGTAAAGAAAAGTAATTATCAAAATAATTTTCTATAAAAAGTAAACTGCCAAACCCCTAATAGAGGGTATTTCCACCACGTGAAGCAACGTATGCTTCAAACCGCCTACCCATGTTGAGTACCAGATTGATGATATTCTGTTGAGGGTCTCCACCATTCTCCTTGAGCATCATCTACAAGTTTTTGTAGATTCCAGATACATTTATACGTGTTGAAACTTCCTTACCAAGCAGGTTTTATGAGGTTGGACTTGAATTAAGTTGTTGAATGTTTTATGAGCTCCAGAAATCTTAAAACGCTAATACCAGACACTGATGGGGTCAGTACCTGAAAATAGCTTTATTGCCCTATTGTTATACAACGGTTGCTATTGTTCTCGGCCAATGTACTGGATGTATCCATCTACAAATGTACTAAAGCTATCTGAGTTTCAATGAAACATATACGCTTAGCGGATTGGTCCCATCTTTTGGCATGTCAAGCTGTACACAACAATCAAGCTTTAAGAAATAGACTATAGTCCACCACCGGTCTTTCACCCATCTAGACCTGTTCGGTGTTGAGATTTGAACACCGGTGTTAGGTGTTTATGACCACCGGTGTTTTAGTCGGTGTACCGGTGTCAACACCGACACCGGTGTTTATCTCAACATCGGTATCGCGATGAACACCAGTCTCGAGACCAACACCGGTCTCAGTGTCGATGTCGATGGTGCCGTTTGTTTGTTTTTTTAATGTAATATTTTTTTAGTTTATTTTACAGCTACGAATTTTTGTTTCTTTATGTTTTGTTCTGTTTTTTGTTTGTTTTTGATTAAACAATTTTTTACTTTATAGTTGTTTATCTGATGCTTCCACTTTATTTTAGTGATTAGTCTGGCAAAAAAATATATTTAAATTTGAAAACTTTAAATTAAAGTCTGAAACGATAAAAATAAGCACCGATACTACCGACATTATTATTATCAGGGTCTATTTTGAACCTATTAATTAACATTATTTCTTCTTTAACCCGTTTTCCAAACACCGGTATCGAGATGAACACCGGTGTCTAGACCAACACTGGTGTCGAGATGAACACCGGTGTTTTAGATGAACCCCGGTGTTGTAGATGAACACCGGTATCGAAATGAACACCGATGTCGGTGTCGACACCGTATAGTCCATATTTCGCCACCGGTGTCAGCCCAACACCGGTGTTGAAACGGTGTTCCGGTGTTTGGAACAGGCCTACATCCGTCTGTGTATCAAGTTAGTCACCGTTTTAGCCACCTCGAATGGTTTGTGGTAGTGATAAAAAGGGGTCATTCGGTAACTAAAAAGGATTAAAATCCATAATAATTACATAAGTGTCATACCTTTCCAGTAGAGGGATATTTCGACAGAAGACATTAAAAAAAAATGAGAAATGTTACTGTCATGGATTCTCCATGGTTCGATAGACTTGTAAGATTTTATAATACTCACCCTGTATACAAGGTATTCATCGACAAGCTGTTCCGTTACGGTTAAATCTATTTCGGTGGTTCCATCTTTTGTAACGAAATTATATGTCTATTTTTAAACAAACGAAGAAGATTAGGTAAGAAATTGATTTAAATCAATTTTATAGCAGCTGCAATAATTGTACTTCTCTTATTATAGAATATTTTTATTATTTTTTGTTCTGACATTTGTGGATTGTAATAAAATTTTTAATTAAGATATTTACTTAAGAGTCCATTTCACTAGTCCGAAAAAGTAGTAAAATAAGCGTTCGGCATTTAACGTTTTATGTAAAACTGGCTAGGTATTTTTACACAAATGAAAGAAGGAAATTAAAGATAAAGGATTATACTCTATCCGTATTGTAGCACATTTTTAGACAACTTCTTTATTTATAACTTTTTGATGGTCAAACATCAACAAAATATTCCTTATGTTTGGACTAAATTTTCTCGAAAATATAGACATAATTTAAAATTCCGTTACACTACGAAATAGATTGAAATTTTGTGATTACAGTGATATATAATTTATATGGTTTTGTAACAAATTTCTCGCTATCTTATGGCAAATGCTGAAGCTCTGCAAACCTTAATCAAGCCTTAGTTGGTCACTACGTCACAGGTGATAAACGGCACCATTGGTCGGCAAGCTCTGCGCGCCAATTTCAAATTGTCAAACAGATGACATAATAAATGTGAAAATAATTTTTCAAGTGTCAAGCTCGATGATTTGACATAACTTTTGGGGTTATGTCCTAATTCTTCCCTATTTTAGGTCTTTTTTTATTAGTGGCAATTGGACAATATGAATATTTTTTTGTATGGCGTATGACGTCACAGGTGGTATGCGCAAAATTAACGAAATTGGAGCCGCTATCGATCATACCTTGTTTTCTTTGTACCATGGGATCGGGCTAATAAAAAAAATGCCTTTTTTTTATAGATGGGAAACGCCATTTACAGCCAGAGTGTGGGGGTCACCTCTCACCCGAGTCATACCCACTAAAATCCCATCTGTAGAGTTACCTCTCCAATCTCGGAACCGCCTTGCGGCATTACTTCAAGACTGGATATTGTTTCGCCACTTACGTCTGTGTCTGCCAAATTTTTATCTTTTCATCTTCCTGTTTTTTAAGCACGATTGCTCTCATCATCCTGGTGATTGCTTCACAGTTCTCTCTATTTTCCATCATAAGCTCGCCGACATTTTCCCTTGTTATTTTAACCTTGCATATTTGTTCCGCCGATGCTCTAGTCTCCAAATGCCTACTAACTACACTCGAATAATGTGTGATTGGCCGTGTCTGATGCTTCACAATACCAGCATTTTGTGGATTCCGCCTTAGTTATTCTAAACAGGTACTCTCCAAAAGCACCGTGCCCTGTCATCGCCTGGGTGATGTAGTAGTCCGTTTTCGTCCACGTGTTGTTTATCCAAACCCTCACGTCCGGGATAAATATCTTAATTCGACCCTGGTATGCCTCCCATCTGTTCTGCTATTTGTCCAGCATTATCTTTCTGGCCTCTGATCGATACCCTGAGCCGTGCCTGTATATTAGATTTCTTTCCTCGATTTGTAGGATAATTGGGGGGATTTTGGCTAGAGCGAGAACAGCTTCTGTGGAAACTGTACGATACGCCGACACTACGCGTAGGGCTAGCATTCTGTTAATTTTCTCGAGGACTTTTTCATAGTATTTATAGTCTGTTGCCCTGCTCCAAATGAGCGAGGCATACAGGATCATCGAATGCACAACCGAGGCAAGCATTCTCCTCTTTCCGTCACTGGGGCCTCTAATATTGGGAGTGATTCTGGTCAGCTGTTTGATGGTATCAACCGTCCTGTCCCTGATTTTAAGGACATGTGTAGTCATGCGCATCCCCGAATCAAGCCAAACGCCCATATATTTTATTGCCTTTTGAGGTCTGAAAAAAAATGCCTTTGGCAGCCTAACCTAACGTAACCCGCTTTACCCGACCCCTGAGAGCGACCCGAACAGTACAGGGTGAGTCGACGATAGAGTAAAGTCCATTATCTCATTTGTTTCGAGGTTTACAAAAAAATGTTAAATATAAAAGTTATAGGGAAGATTAGGATACACATTTTAAAATTATTATAGAGTATACAGGGTGCTTCAAAAAAGTGGGACGCCGACGGATATAACATATGTTTTTTAAAGGCAACAACCTATTTTTTATTTCATTTTTAGATTCTGCGTAAAATTTTTTATATATAATGTTATATACCTAAAATTAATAGTTTTTGTAATATTTAAATTTGTTTATACAAATGTTAAATTGCAGTGTGGTAAAAAATTGTCAGTGGTACCATTGTTTCTGAAGTTGGAATACCAAAATTTGGTATGAGAGTTCTATAGAGATTAAAAAGAAGATATATGTTAAGATATTTTAGTTAAATATTACAGGGTGTTCAAAATATATTTATAAATTTCAATTACTTAAAATTAAAAAATCTAAAAATTTTTAAATTGTACACCCTATATATTTTGATTTTTTCTGATAGATTTTGCAAAGCTCTTCAACTTTTATTAAGTATGTCATATACCTATTTTTAATAATTTGCGATTTATTCCAATTTTTTCTATTTTTACCCATATCTTTAATACAATTACGCTATAACATCATAGTTACCATGACAAAAAATAATAATTATTATCAAAATTTCATATGTCTGTTAAGCAAGTTAAGAACAAAAGGTGAATTTTAGTTTAATTTGTTGTAATAAGTATAAACGGTAGAGGTAGAGATAATAGTTTCAGATTTTCCTGAAAATGGATTAGTCAATGTGACTGATATACACGAACAAGCCAAAATAAACATATTTTTTGGTTCAGTACTATATATTATATAGTACTTTGCTAAGTACTATAAGAATAGATGTAGATTATCTAGAAAACATTTTCATATTATATTATATTATAATATTTTCAGTGTGTAATGGGACGGTTTTGTGGCAGTAGTAATATTGGCTTTACGAAATGAATTATAAACCAGAATTACTACGAGAAAAAAAACTTTACTGTATGTCGGAGAAAATTTCAATATCAGTAGTCGTCAACAATTAGGTAATCTAGTTAGCATTACTATAATTTGTGGCTATTCGGCCCGACGGAAAATCCAAATGTCATCTTTCATAATATAGAAATACACCAAGAAATTCACGACTACGATTGACTACGACTACTGTTTTGTTACGGTAACTATGATGTTATAGCGTAATTGTATTAAAAATTAGGGTAAAAATAGAAAAAATTGGAATAAATCGCAAATTATTAAAAATAGGTATATGACATACTTAATAAAAGTTGAAGAGCTTTGCAAAATCTATCAGAAAAAAATGAAAATTTATAGGGTGTACCATTTAAAAAATTTGAGATTTTTTAATTTTAAGTAGTTGAAATTCATAAATATATTTTGAACACCCTGTAGCATTTAACTAAAATATCTTAACATATATCTTCTTTTTAATCTCTATAGAACTCTCATACCAAATTTTGGTATTCCAACTTCAGAAACAATGGTACAACTGACCATTTTTTACCACATTGCAATTTTACATTTGTATAAACAAATTTAAATATTACAAAAACTATTGATTTTAGGTATATAACATTATATATAAGAAAGTTATAGAATTTTACGCAGAATCTAAAAATAAAATAAAAAATAGGATGTTGCATTTAAAAAACATATGTTATATTCGCCACACATTTTTGAAGGATCCTGTATATTCTATAATAATTTTAAAATGTGTATCTTAACCTTCCCTATAACTTTTCTATTTAACATTTTTTTTGTAAACCTCGAAACAAATGAGATAATGGACTTTACTCTATCGTTGACTCACCCTGTACAGCGTAATAGACTCTTAACCATATTAATATTTTCATATCTTAAATACAATTAATAAGTATTCCTAGAGACGATCAGGCTTTCATGTCTTTCAATATTTTACTAGGAAAGCAGTTGATTTAAATGTACATAATATATTAATAATTATATTTCCTATCCTACTTTGACACAAAAAAATAAGGAATTTAGGTAGTTAGGGTGTTTACTATTATACATAGGATATAAATATTTTATGTGTATTTTTAAGTGTTTATGAGTTTAAAGAACATACATTTTAAGTATTAGATGGAAACTGCCCTAGGTTTGAAAAATTAAGTTTTTTTAAATCTACCAATAATAATAATCTTCTTAGTAACTTTAACAAACTATAAGTATTTTAATCTTATTGTTAGTCACATTCTGTTGTTTTTTACCATACCCATTAATAGTGTACTTATAAATAAAAGAAAACTTTAGAGCAAATTCTATCACACAGTGGCGTGCTTTGATAATATGAAAATTCTAAATGAAGAAGAGGAACAGTTAAAGAAAGTAAAAAAGGGCTAAAATATTTCAACACTGTTATTAACGTTGTTATGTTCCTTGAAAATACCGCCGTATAATAATAATAAATAAAAAGATCTCTACCTATGCTTGCTTGCTATTTATACCTTGAGGTATAACTCCGTCGTCCCAAAAACTGGCAGTACTCCGCTAACATGCTTGCACTTTCCTAAAAATCTCTCCTCCAGCTTAGCGATATCTTGCTGGACTTGTTCCTCGCGTTCATCCGAGACTGCTCCTATATTTCCAGAGAAGAATTCTAGGTGTGAGTGAAGAGCCTTTTTGAGTCTGTGAAGGTCTTTTTAGTATCTCTTTCTAAATTAAAAATGGTTGGAAAAAAGTTCCCATCTGTCAATTATACGAGGGAAAACAAAATGTTGATATTTTGGTGAAAGTTTGAAACACCCTCCAAAAAATCCTATATTGGTATTTCGCCACTGCAAGAAAATCTACAAAATAAAATAGTTGAAACACCCTCTGTAATATGTTAACAAAGCAAGGCATTTAAAAATAATTTTATTATTTAAATACATTTTTTCTCGATAGTCTGTTTTATGTTTCATCTTAAGAGCTTTACTTTTTTGCAGATTTTCGCTTTCACCTTTGCATACTCAATTTTTTTCATAATTTTTACACTAAAACCATGTTTTTGCTTATGATCCCAGTCAACAGACCTCTAAAATAGTTTTTATGTTTTATATAATGTCACTCTCATTGAAAAATCATATGATTATTGTCTGTTGGGCAGTCCTAGCAGAAATGGTTTTCATCAAAGTCCAGAAGTTGTATCCGCTATAGTTGCTTTAATTGAAGATGGTAGAGATCATTGGTACAAAATTAAGTAGTATCAAAATCAATGGTACCCTGATTAACAATATTTGCTTCGCAGATGATACGGTCATACTAGCTGGCAACATTCTACACCTTCATAACATAATGGACTGCATTTTTGAACATAGCATGCAGTACGGATTACACATCAATGTTAACAAAACTAAACTTGTATTTTCCAAAACACAGGGAAAGACTGTCCTCAGAATTAACATCACGATGGTAGAATAAGTATCGTCCATAAAATATCTAGGAGCCCTCGTTAACGACGCTTGCGATCAGACGTACTTTGACGTAACCTCGAACTGCGCACTCGTATGCTGCGTTGCTACCTCTTTCCAGTATTTCTCTACGGCTCTGAGAGTTTGGACACTCAATCAGACATTGGAAAACCGCATTAACTCTTTTGAGATGTACTTGTATCGTTGTATGGATAGAACGATAAATAAAGAGGTGCTCAGGCGGATGGGCAAAGATAAAGAGCTCCTATCAACAGTGAAAGAAAGGAAGTTACAATACGTCGGTCACATCATGAAAGGTGAACGATACGAGGTGTTCAGACTGGCCACTGAAGAACATCGATTGAAATTTTCAGAGGTGCGGTTTCAAACACCATCATAGCCAGTTGGATCGCCAACCTCCGAAAGGAGACGGCGACCTAAGAAGAAGAAGAAGAAGAAGAGAGTATAATTATGTCGCTAACAGATTTAAGTGTGATGAAGCTCGGGGGAGTAATACTCTCTCGGGGGAGTAATATTTTCTTATATGTTTTTGTCTCTTCCTTCAGTTAATCGGTAGCTCTGTAACATTTTATTATCAGAATAAAAATTACAAAAAACTTTGAGTGTCTTCTTCAAAAGCGAATATCTCCAACAAAAATAAAGCGATTGAGATGAACCACAAAGCAAACCATCAAGAAAAGATATACCTAGATAATAAAAGTATTTTTAAAGTCCTTGCTTTGTTAACATTATTTGTTAACACGTTACATTTTTCGTATAGGTACTAGTGATGGAAAAAACCGATTAATTTCAATAATCGAGTACTCGAGTTTCAAGCGATTTCAATAATCGAGCGAAATATCGCTCGTATTTAAAAATACGGTTTTTCGCCCGTCGCTTGTTGTACTCGTAACGCCAAGCAGTAAGTTGCGTGCGCAGAGCACATATTCTTTCGGTGATGAATGGCAAGGAGTAAGCGACGAGTAATTCGCTTGATTTAGTTTATTTAAATAAAATATACGATTTATATAAAATTTTACGACCTACATCGACAATAATTGTCGATATATGTAGGTCGTAAAATTTTGTCACTCAGATATACAACGGATAACGTCGTATAAATTTGCTACCAGCAATGTATGTAGAAAATTCGCTCGGCTTTTTATCGAGTATGTCACATGAAAATCGGATTTCAATTTATTTCATTCTAGGATCGCTTGCGTTCGCTACTCGTAACTCGTTACAGATGTCGGTTATTTCAATAATCGAGTACTCTAGCGAATTTTCGCTTGAGTTATCTCATCACTAGTTAACATATTCCATAGGATGTTTCAAACTTTCACCAAAATATCAACATTTTGTATAATTGACAGATTGGAACTTTCATTTTTAATTGAGAAAGATATACTAAAAAGTCAAATCATTTAGCTACAAAT